GGATTCCCGTAGTGTGTTGTGAAGGGTGATGGTTCAGGAAGTGAGGAGAACTCGATGAAAAGTGATTTAGAGAAAAAGGAAGGAGAAAGAGAGTGCCAGAAAGAAAGAGGAAGGAAGTTGTGTTGGCGCTAGGCCTCTCCCTCTCCCTCTCCCCCTCCCCCCCACCGCCCTCGCGCCTGTACCGAAGTTCACGCCCGCCCTCGCCGCCCACCATCGCGATCTGATGCGGGTGGTTGACTGCCCCCAGCCGCTGAGAAGACCGCCCCGCCCCCCCTCCCACTTCTTCGCCCCTCCTCCTCCCTCCCCCTCTCCTCCTGCTCCTCCTCCCCCGCATCTTCGTCTTCCTTCCCCTTATCCCCCTCCATCGCCTGTTCTTCCTCTTCCTGCGCTTCCTTCCTCTCCTCCTCCTCTGGCCCGTTCCTCAAACATGCGGTCCAAACACTAGCTGTGAGAGTGTGTATTCCTGCGTGCGTTATCGTGTTCGTGCGTGCGTGCGGGCGTTCGTGCGAGCCAGCGTCTTCCCAGAGTTCCGTGGGCGTGGGGATCGTCAGGTGGAACGGGCGTAGCGGAGACGGAGACGGAGGCGGAGGCGGTGGGCGGCGCGTGGAGGCGGAGGAAGGCACGCGAGTGGATCATGCGGCGTTGGTGGCGGTCATTGTCGTGGTCGTCGCCGTCGTTGTCGTTGTCTTCGTGAAGGAGAGACTGATAGACAGACTGATAGATAAATATATAAAGAGTCCGGTGGTGCGGTGCATATAGTTTGGTGAATCCGTGTAGCCGATCTCCTGTCTTCCGCCACCAGGCGCGTCTTCGGCTCGAGTCCATCTCCAGGAGCACGCGGTGGTCGTCCTCTCCGGCGGTGGCGCGTGAGGCGAAAGGCGAGGCCCGCTAGGGACGCGAAGATGGGCTGGCGAGTGCAGTCTTGTTGACCTTGGATACGCCACGACCCCCACCCACCCCACCATCCTCCCATCACCCCCAAAATTCCCCACCCATCCCCACAATTCCGGTGATCAACGCGGCGCGTCGGGACGAACAGCGACGGAAGTGCGGTGTTGTCCAAGGGTAGAGGAATTGCAAAGAGAGAAGCGAGTGAGTGCAGGAGATACAGATAAAGAGTGAGTGAGGGAAAGAGACAGAAAAGGGAAAAGGAGTGAAACAGAGAGTCGCTGTCCGTCAAAAAGAGAAAAATAACCAGTGAGAAATCGTATTTGTTGTCGTTTCGTGAAGTGCTGTTTCGGGAACTCACTAGACGTATCACAAACCCGGTGTCACAAACACACCCAAACAAACCCGGAAGACAGGAAGAGAGACGAGAGAGAGAAAAAAGAAGAAAGAACAAGTTGAGGAACAAGAGTGAACCAGAAAAAGACTAAAGAAAGAGTGAGAGACGGTGCGAGAAAGAGACAGAGAGACCCCCACCAGCAACGGAAGAGCGCCATTAACGAGAGGGGTCTGCCTGCCTGCCTGCCTGCCCACACCAACCAGCCTGCGGCACCCCCACCCTTCGTGGCCTGTCTGCCTGGCCCCATCTCTCCATCTCCTCACCTCATCGTCCGTCTTGCTGCGCCGCCGCCATGACACTCAGCGCCGAGTACCAGTGGTAAGTACCGGTACCGTACCTCTCTGTCGACGGGGAAGGGGGAGGGGGGAGGGGGGAGGGGGCACCACGCAGAGAGCTGTCAGCTGTTCGTGGTTTTGCCCTCTCGGTCCTGAATATTTCTTGCGTTGAATCTGATTTTAAAATTATGGTGAATATTATTACTCAGTGATTGCATTACGGAGAAAGAGAAAGAAGTGAAGTGAGAGAATGGATGTGTTTGTGCGGGAGTAAGATCAGAAATGAAGACGAGTGAGATTGATAATAAAAACGAGAATGTGAATAAGCACAGATGACAGAAAGGGTGGCGGGAGAGGGAGGGGGTGCGAGTGCGTGTGCATGTGCGTGAGTGCGCGCGAGTGAGTGAGTGAGTGAGTGAATGAATGAGTCTACCCCCCATCCACCTCTGAGACACCCCCTCCCCATCTCATATTCCCGGTTCTCATCAGAGTAGATTTGGCGGGATTTGAATGTTTTTCTGTAATTTGCATATCCATCAGGGAGGAGATTTCGTCATCTGTAAGGAGTACGATGCCATCTGTCCATCGCTTCGCCTCTTGCTTTAGTCCTTTTAAATCTACTTCCTTCGTTCACCATCTCGCTGCGGTCGGCGGAGGAGGAGATAGGCCAGCAGAGGTCAAAGGTCACGCGCTCCTCCCATCCCTTCCCTGACCTCGTTTTGGAGCCACCTGTTCTGGGGCCCGTGAGTGGCATTGCGGGGAGAGGGGGGGAGGGAGGGGGAGCCGCACGTGGGGATAAAATTAATTCCTCGCTATTTTCTTTTACCTTTTTTTTTATCACCGGCGTCTTGTCTTTTCTCATTTTTTGTTCTTCGAGAGCCTGATCTTATTTTTAAGAATGTTTACCCGAATTAGCTTTCTTCTTCTTCGTCTCTTCCTT